TGTCGCTTTTGTCTCTTTGACCAATACCGAGTTCTTTTATCGTTTCTGCTTCGTCGCTAGTGATAACAGACTGACGGCTAACGAACTTTTAATTAACGAGAGTCACCTTAGTATACATCTACAAGATAACACGTTCTTCTTCAGCAAACTATTTTACATAGGTTTCTTTTTTATATATATATATTTCATTTCGTAATAACAATTTTTTTTTGTGAGTCAAGGTAAAGTGATAATTTCTTTTTAAAAAAAAAAAAACAAATTAGGAAATATTACGTGTGCGCTAATGTTCATAATTTTTTGTTTTTTTTTTTTCTGTTGAATTATAGATATAATGCATCGATAATAATAATTTATTAAGATGAGTCAGAGCTAATAATTAGAAAAAAAATATGTTTTAAAAAAAATGTGTTTAGAATATTGGATGTACGCTTATGTTAATATTTTTTTAATATCTTTTTATATTAAGAATTAAAGATGATGTATTGATAATAATGAACTATTTTTTTTATGTGCTGACTAATGTAAGTTACATAAGATATATTAATGTGAAATTAATGATGCATAAATATATGTGCATGTATGAAATCATATAATTATATATCATTGTATATAATTTTTTGTAATTGTATATAAACACAATAAATAAATGTGATAGTGTATAAACGTTCATATTTTCTTGATATATTTTTTATTTCTAATTAAACAAATGTTGAATCAGAACATGAGTCATACTAATTGTTCACCGAGAACAAATAACGTTTTTTATGTTTGTTGCATACACCGATAAATCTAATATTTTTGTCGTTTAACGTCGAAGAAACATTTCCGCTTTTGATATCGAAAAAAAAATAGTAAAAGAGAGAGAGAGAGAGAGAGAGAGAGAGAGAGAACTAAAGCAAATGTATTAAATGCTTTAATTTTGTGAGCTTATACGTAAGCATACTATAATAGTATATTGTTGTAGAATATTTCATGACAATAGATAAAGATTTTTAAAACGAATATGTGTATGTAAATATATACTTGATGACTTAAGTTAAATGTTAAAAAATGTTTAACTCATTTATCTATTTTCTATGCAAAGTTTTTAAAAATAAATATAACATTTGCAACATCATTTATAAGATAGATGTATTTTTGTTTGTATCTAAACAAAATTATTTACTCTGTAAAAGAGTTATAGTGTTTATTATAATTAAATTAAAAAACAAATTGATGTATGTGTATGCATATGTAAATTATATTACATATTATTTACATATTTACATTTATTGAAAAAAGAATATAAATTTTTGCTTTACCATATAATTGATAATAATTAGAAATAATTTTCTATTTATATTCTATTTATATATATATATTTTTTTTAATATTTCATTATAGTAATTGGAAATAGTAGAAGTTAATAATTTATTATTGCCTTTCGACCCCTTAAGTTGGGAATTGGGAATTGGGAATCGTTCGTAATGTTTTATACAAGACACACTAGAAATAACAAACTACAAAGTTTTCCTAATCGAATAAAGAAAAGGTGAACAAATAAATAAAGAAAAAGAAATGGAGGGTTTTTGGAATATTATTTGGTAAATTTTTAACGGACTCGTAGGAAGAAGTCTGTGTTGTGCGACTTTCGATCTTCAGAGTCTACTTTAGGATGGAACTGCAGTGCAGTGCAGTGCAGTGTGTGTTATATGCATCGGACCGGTTTCTGTGCTCGACGATGTTGCGCTCTTCGAGTTAGACGACGTCTCTCGTTCCCAGACTCAACGAATCCAACACGCCTTGTGCATCTTTTCTTTCTTTTTCATTTTTTTTCTTTCTCCTTGTTCCCTCTTTTTTCCTTTTTTTCTTTTTTTTTCTTTCTTTTTCCTTTAATTATTTTCATCAAATGTTGATACAGTTCACATTTTCTTCTTTGTATATTCTTATTTATATTTTGTAGGGTTTTTTTTATCAGTGTTTTGGGTTATCAACGTGGAATTCATTATTTTCTTACTTATTATGATTATAATTTCTTCTAGTTTTTGTTTAAGTTTTTTTCTCTTTTTGATGCAATGTGTAATCGTGAATATTCGTATTTCTGTTTCACTTGATTTTTTGTTAGGCTATGAAATTAACCCTTAAAATTTCGACCATCACAATTATTGGTACTATAATTTATCTTGTATACAAACTTCCATTATGCAAAGTAAAAAAATGTTCATTCATAAGAATCTCTCAGCTAATTTCATTTATTAATCATTTATTAACATTATAAATTTTATTATAATGTATTTGGATTAAACTTTCGATTGTGAAGAATTAAAATAATGTTCATTCATTAAAATCACCCAGCTAATATTTCATTTTGCTTACGTAATTTTTGTACTGACCTTAAAAAAATAGAAAACAAGATCCTCAAATTACTATTTCGTTGCTGAGACTGAATAAAGAAAGAAAAAAAGGGAAAAAAAATGTTTTATTTTGTCATTAAGTGTTGCAAAAATTCGGTCTACGTCGTCGACGAAACGAAAAGGAGTAATTTACGTTTTTAGATTTCATGTACTTATAGCAACGAAACCACTGCTGTCTGTACATTAAATCGCGCGACGCGTTTAAAAGCAACCAAGCAAACTAGTGAGCAAAGAATATACATATATACACGTATATACACACACACATATACATATATGTATAAATACATATGTTGCTTGGTCGTATGTTTTATTCGCGGTACGCTTTTAAACGCGCAATCGTTCGTACGTTGACACTGAATATGCAGTGTGCAGGTTTTAAATATGAGTAAGCAACCAACCAACCAAGAGAATTTGTGAATTTTAACTAAGACAATTTTTTTTACCGATGATCTTCCCCTAAATAAATGAGATCAAACGAAAATAGATTACGAAATTTCTTTCTTCTACTGGAAAACAGTATATTTAGCATATCTCTCATCCAAATAAATATTCATTTTTAATATTAATTAATGTTATTATTATAATTTGATTAAGAAATAAGTAATTTTGGAATTTTACGTCTATGAGAAATATATTAGCGTTATTTATTTAATTATTATATATAGAATCAGAACCCCATACACTATAACCCAATGTTGCTGCTCGACAAACATTGGTTTGCATATATTATTTTATTTATTCAAATAAATACAATTTCATTTTATTATTTTTTTGAAAGAGAGGCAAATAAAAGTTTGCACTAAGGTGACAAATTCCATAAACGCGTTTCTTTATAAAATATTGCAAATTACTATTATTGTTAATGCAGTGTATTTCCGAAATATGAACAATTCGTTATAAACAATGACAACTGAATTTGTATTCCATTGGAAGGGGTTATAAGGGCACAATAGCAACGATAATAACATGAATCCTATTTGCTCATTCTATAGTACATTTCCAAAGCATTGATTGAACATTTAACTTGGTAAAAAGTATGACAGTTCAATTTGCATTCCCTTTAGACTCAAATTTAAATAGACACATGTTACTACATTATACAATTATTTAATTTGACGCAATAAAGTTGTAAATAGATGCGTTAGATGGTAATTAGAGACGTTAGACAGTGATTTAATCGGGTTTAGAGTAGTATCGTTAATACGATACATGTATGTTCTTAATTATTCGATTTCAACAGATAAGATTCAATCCAAGAGAATCGAATTTGCCCTGAAGGACTCGTTTTAGATTAGGAAATAAAAAAAAGGGTGAAAAATTTATCGGTTTCGTGACCTCGATATCACGATTCACGTTCTCGGTGCGCTGAACAGTAGTGCACAACTTCCGGCCGGAAGTTAATAAGACGTTGGCGGTACCAGTATACGATTCAAACTTGCTCTACCTTTGAAAACTTGCATGCAAACCATATCGATCGTGTCTGACAATTCGCCATATTCACTTGCCCCGATTTTCCTATTATTATTCTCTTCCTTTTTCTTTTTTCATTATTGACTTAAACATAATTTTACTCCACTTATTGTGGTGGATAGTTCATCGCCATTTTTTTTTAAAAGGATCGATCCAATTTTTTCAATTTTGTCCAGCGTACTTTTATGCTTCTTTCATTACTCTTTACGAGAGAAAAAAAATGGTGGCGAATTCGTCACCATTTTTTTTTAAAGAGATTGATTCAACTTTAATCTTGTTCGACTTACTTTTATACTTTCATTATCTTTTTAAGAGAGAGAAAAAAAATATGATGATAGGTTTGTTATCATTTAAAAAACATGCTATTATTCCGCATCGTATTCGCCATTTTTCTTTCATTTATTCCGATGACGAAATTGTAATGATAATTTGTTTGGAAAACTATAAACAAGGACGTAGCCTATCCTGTAACAAAGGACGCCTATTGTTCTTATTCTCTTTGGTAGAAATGTATACACCGTTAAGGAGAAGAAGATATATTTCCATATTATACACAATGTAAACTCGTGTCAGTCGCGTGTCGCATACTTTCCTGAGAACATAACGATCGTCGTATACGTCATCGCTTTAAAGAGGAAGACAGAGAGAGAGAGAAAGAAAGAGAATAAACGTACCATCTAGAAATATAGTTAGCTTCTCCTAGTTCAACGGGTCAATGGAGCGCACAGATATATCCTCGTCTAATATGAACTCTAAAAGCAACGAGACACGTTTCTGTCATCATCCAAATCGTCCTTGGCACATTTCTTATTGGTCTCGAATTTCTCGAAGATCTCGAATAAATAAGGTGTTGTATTAAGAATTTTATAGAAATAATTGTTAACACCTACTTAACGTTGATTATTTATTACTGGAACGGGAAGGAAGAAAACATTATCTGTAAGAAGAAACAGTGAATCGATTTGGAAATAGACAATTTTATTCGTAAATAAGATGTTAAAAGGGAACAAATAAACAAATAAGGAACATTAATTATCAACATATCTAATTAAAAGCAAAGTAAACAATTCGAAATAATAGGACCAACATCCATCCATCCATCCATCATCTCTTTTGTTTGCTTTCTGTTAACAGATACAGGCGAAGCGCGAGCTGTTCTTCAAAGGCGACAGCACGGGCATTATCTCTTCGCCTTCAGTGCCAACAGTTCCACCACCTCAACCACCAGGACAGGGAACATCATCGTTAACGACGACTAGTAGTAATACAACGACTAGTATCAGTACGACGACAAGTAACAACAGTGGCACAACGACGCTCGTTAATTCGACTAGTACAAATGTCAACAGTAGCAATAACAATAACAACAACAACAACAGTACATCGATTCAATCGACATCTTCCATATCCTCCTCCTCGTCTTTGAGCACGACGGCTAGCATTTACACTGGCGTCAGCGCGAGTCATGCGAGTCATGGGACGAGCAGCTCTGTACCACCAACAGCGAAGATGCGTTTGCCTCTCTCTTCCTCTTCTTCATCGACGACCTCAGCCAACAACCCCAACCATACCTCGGCCTCGGCTCTGATCCTCAATCCAAACGATTCATCCGAAGATAGTAACAAAAGGGATTCGTCGAGGAGCAACGAGTCCAAGGATTCATCATTGAACTCTATACTTCATCGGCCGCTTCAACCGTTAACGAAATCAAAGGAACTCGATGGTTACGTTGGTTTCGCCAATTTACCTAACCAGGTGTATAGGAAGGCCGTCAAGAAAGGATTCGACTTTACCATCATGGTCGTTGGTTCGTATTGTCTCGATTATTGTTTTATTTCTTTACTTTTTTTAAAAGTAGGATATTCTCTACTTTATCGACACGCTCACAACGATTCATCTATCTCTCGCAACGCTTTTTATTCGACTTGATTATTAAAATTGATTTTTTTTATGCCTTCGAATAAGCACTTACACGTATATAACGAGATATAGCAACGGAACAATGAGCTAAGTGTCAGACCTTGAAAGCATGATCGTTCTTAGCTCAATTAACACATCCATTTGCCGTCACCTTTTGCCAAAAAGACAACGGACATCTGCTCTAGAGGGTCAAAAAGATCGAAAGACAAAAGGAAGCCCGTTTCTCTGCCCCTTCCCTCTCTCTCCCTCTCTTTCTGGCTTCTTCTTTCCATTATTTTTTCTTTTCTTTTATACACTACACTGCTGTTTCAATTCCGCCGTCAGGAATATATATCGGCTTTTATAAAATTTTCTCATCTGCTCGACACGTGCGGCGCCGGTTGCATACATCCATATACACTGCACTACACGCAGCTGGATTAGGCCTGCCACTGTGTGTTGTATTTGTTCTCAGTGATTCTCAAATTTGTCATCCTCAATATCAGTCTGTTGAAAATGATTTTAAAATAAATGGAATTTTTAATTTCTTCTTTGACCGAGAAAATCCTTCAGAAGATTCCTTCTTATGACTCGTTCTTGACTTTCTTAGTTTTGGGGATATTTTTCTGTAGGGTTTGCTTTATCATTATATTCAACATAACGAACAAAGCGTACTCGCAATATATATATATGATATATGTACATGAAAGTTCCCCTGTTCAAAATGAAAGCGAGAAATTTGAGAATATGGGCGGAGTACTCTGCTATTAATAGGATCAGTATAAACGGAGTCATTCTTTGTAAATAAAGGAATTCAAGTACGTACCCTTGAGAATGACCACTGGTACTGGTTCAAGGTTTGCAAATGCAACGATATTTTAATCACAGTGATACCAATTCCTTCGAATTTAAATAGATATTTGTACCACGATCTCTTAGTATCTTTTTATTAAGCCGAATGTGTATTAAAATAGACGTTTAAATAATGTCTAATAAAAATGATGAATACTTTTTCCTAATTAATTTGGATTTCAGTATTTTTAAATATTTGTTTTATCTTTCCTTAGGTCGATCCGGGTTAGGAAAGTCAACTTTTATAAACTCCATGTTTTTGGCTGATATATACAGCGCGGAATATCCAGGTCCTAGTCTGAGGGTAAAGAAAACAGTAGCTGTCGAGACGACCAAGGTGTTGCTGAAAGAAAATGGGGTAAATCTTACACTGACTGTGGTCGATACGCCTGGATTTGGCGATGCGATCGACAATAGTAATTGGTAATTCATGCTTGATTTATTTTTATTCTTCGCCTATTGCATATTCCACGAAAGAAAAAGAAAAATTAATGCCATTTTTCTAAGTTCTTCCTTTAACAAACGAGACTCTATTTTGGAAATTTCTCAATATGCGCACAGAATATTTCAAAGTGTAATAATTAACATGTATTTGCATTTGAAATAAATTCGAAGTAAAAATTATATTCGGACCAAAAATTAATTCAATGGTAGTTGGAAAACACTACATGCATAATATGTCTGCTAGTTTACGATAAAAAAAAGTTACGGGATTGCTAAACGGAGAAGTTTGAGAAACTCTGTTCTAAAGTATTAAAACTTTGTATGTTATAATTTTTCATGCCATATATAATTTATTAATTATTCAAAATATACATGTTGGATGTCTCACTTTGTGTGAATGTATAAATATATTTATATGTTCATCTATAAATAATAAAAATTATTTATGAATATATCATATGTTTCAGTTGGGTTCCAGTTATAGAATACATTGAGTCAAAATATGAGGAGTTCCTGAATGCAGAGTCTCGTGTAACGAGACGGCAAATACCCGACAGTCGAGTACACTGTTGTCTTTATTTCATTGCGCCCTCGGGTCACGACCTGACGCCGCTCGATGTAGAGTTCATGCAACGCCTTCACGACAAAGTCAATATAATACCTGTAATCGCTAAAGCAGACACGATGACTCCTGACGAGCGTGCTTATTTTAAAAAGAAAGCAAGTTCATTAAATATTTATTCGTAAAAAAAATATATTTCACATACAAATATCTGTAGAAACAAATTTTTTTCAATCACATATAATGCACATAGCCGTATATACTTTACAGTACCTTACACATACAGGCACACGTGCGCGTATGTATGTTCAATTTTGTATACATTCTAGTTTCCTGAATATTAGACACAAATAAAGAATAATTTGATAGAATTTACATTTTTACCACATAATAGTTCCATTATAAAATACGTTCACATGTACAGAAAAATTAAGAATAATTTTTGTTTGTTTCTAGATATTAAATGAAATCGCACAACACAAAATCAAAATCTATGAATTCCCAGAAGAAGAATACGAGGAGGATAGCAAGTACGATAAAGTTTTAAGGGATAGAGTTCCCTTTGCGGTCGTCGGCGCGAATACTGTAGTCGAACATGATGGGAAAAAAGTACGTGGGAGAAATTATCCGTGGGGTATTGCCGAAGGTATATGAAAAATCAATTATCTATATTTTGTATTATTATTGGTGTATCAAATGATCTATTTAAATCATCATCGTTCGTCATTACTTTTTTCAGTTGAGAATTTAGACCATTGCGACTTCATAGCTTTGCGAGATATGATCATTCGAACGCACCTGCAAGATTTACAAGACGTTACGAATAATATACATTACGAGAACTTCCGATGTCGGACATTAGCTGGTCTCGGTGTAGATGGCAAGCCAACTAAAATATCAAATAAGTACGTTCAACATTTACTTTACGAATTATTTTTCTCTAATTTCGTCATGTGTTTGCCGTTTTTCCAAGGAAACTTTGATTTTTTTTTTTTGACGTATATTTAAGAAGATGAGGATATGAAAATTAAACGAATGTACGAGATAAAGTTACAAGATACAGGCATTTTAACCGTTTGAATCCAAAAGCTCGTCGCAAAAATCACTGTCAGTTGTTCATAACGATCAAAATGTCAAAGATTTTTACATAAAACCTAAAAAAACGCGAATTACACTTCTTTGGACTCAAACGTTTGAAAAACACGTTAAGAATCTCGATAGAATTTGGATAGAGCGATATATAATAGATTAATAAATTATCTACTAAATGTTAATCAGGAAGGAATACAATTTTTTTACTCTTTATGTTCTATCATTTTAAGTTCTTTAAGGATTATACTTGTTTTCTTCTTTTTCCCAAGACACCGAAGGAAAAAGCTTGTGCATGCAAACTACTGGAAAGCAAGATATATAAATATTATCGTGGTCTAAATTCCTTTACTTTTAGTGATACTTTTGACAACAACAAAAAATTAAAAATTGCATCGTAGACAAAATGTAGCAAAAAAAAATATCTGTGATAAAGACAAACTTTTTAAAAACATTTTTCCTAAATAAATTTTAATATTGATTTCTTATTGGTTAGTTTGTGCCCACCAGGAGTGATGAACAGTTTCATGACAGTGTGGTAAGTCCTTTAATAAGGCTGAGGTCATGTACTATGGTTTTGTGTGCACAAGCCTTGTCGAATTTCTATTTGCTAGTTCTTAGTTTCAGAAATCATGTTATGCTAAATAAAAACAAAAAATAAATAAAAAAAGGAGGGTTCACTGCGTGAGGAATTGAAGGAGTTAAGTTTTATTAGCATAATTAAATTTATCTGAGCTAAAATAAATATTTTCTATCTATAATAAAATAAAAATTCCAATAAACATAATGATAGCGATGTAATTATAACACAACGTAATATCGTATCTTCCATTTGGTAGTGAGCCCTCTAAAACAAATTAGTTATTGCAAGTAACGCATTATAAATAATTGTAAAGTTTAGTAAATTCTAAGGGAGTGTAGATAAGGAACCAGGAAAATAATTGATATATGATTTTGATATAAGAATTAAAAAAAGAAATTTTTTTTTATTTTATTAGTTCATATGGAACCTTGCATCGATGTATATATATATATACGTAAATTTCTAAATAACATATTGCTTGCTGCTTTTTATTTGATCTTTTAGTGGCTATTTATTTTTATTAGTTTTCATCATTGAAATGGCACAGCACTATATCCCCCTTGTAATGTCTCGTTGTAAATCTATAAAATATTTTTCGAATAAATATTAGGAATATGTATATATTACATATACAGGATGTCTAAAGTTTATCCGGCCTAACCGTGTCAGATTATTTTGTTATATTGTTTTTTTTCTTATTTTTATGTACAGAATATGCAGACACTGTTTGACTGGAAAAACCTCAGACATCCTGTATATTTATATATATATGTATATATATATACATATATTACCATGATATTAAAGAATATTTACGGTAGTCTATTTATATTTCCTATATAAATATTATTCTCGTACATATATATGCCTGTAATTAACAATGTATTTTAGTAGGACTTTTTATGTACAGATTAAAAAAAAAAACTATATTTTCTCGTAGATATGTAATTATAATTTATATTATTTCATAAATTATATTCACACTGAGGTGTCTAATTGTTTTATTTATTTTTTCCTTTTGTTTTTTTTTATTATAGGAATCCTTTGGCTCAATTGGAGGAAGAGAAAAGAGAACACGATAATAAAATGAAGAAGATGGAAATTGAAATGGAACAAGTATTCGAAATGAAAGTTCGCGAAAAGAAACAAAAACTTAAGGATTCGGAAGCCGATGTAAGTACAACTGTTACTTTAACTTTTTCTTCTCTTTAATTTCGTTTTACTTAAAGTTACATTACTTATTATACATACATATTAACTACAGTTACAGAGACGGCATGAACAAATGCGGCGTTCTTTAGAACAACAAATTCGCGAATTAGAAGAGAAAAGGCGCGCATTCGAAGCAGAAAAACTAGCATGGGAACAACAGACCGGTCACAGTATTGAAGAATTGCGTAGGCGCAGTTTAGAAGCCAACTCAAAAGAGTAAGTGTGAATTTATTTATTTATTATATTTAGATAACGCTTTTTGATCATTTCATTATATATTATTTTATCGACGTTTTATTTTTATATATTTTTATTTTATACACAAAGTTACTGCTTTGAATTATACTATCCGTAATTTATCGTATCATGTATTTAAAGCAATCTGCCATTCATGTTAAAAGAGAACATTATTTTATTTATTTATTATTCATTTATGCAATGTGAGATATGGGAAATATCTAGGGAAAAAAATAAAAATTATCTCCTAAATTCGTTATTTAACATTAAAATACTGAAATCTGTTTTTAGTATATATGCAAAGTTGTATTAATAAATGTAGTTCATTTCTAATAAGTATATAATGTAATGACGATTTATCACAACGGCAGGAAATTGCCAATGATCATTATAATAGAACCTTACTATACGCGTAAATTATATTCTTATGAAAAATAATTACTTCAAATATCATGCGTCATTTCTCGTGCAACGATAAAAAAAAACTTAATTTAAAAAATTACTACTCTCATTAATAGAGTACGAATATAATGAAGTGTTGATCTCAATGCTACTGCTATGGAATGTTTTTTTAAATTTGAAATAATATTTATGTTTATATAGCATAAAATATATTTTAATCGTTTTTACGCGTTATCTGTGATGTCACATTTATTTATTTTATTTTTTGGGTGGGAAAAAAGATTTTGAAGATTATGAAAGAACACACTTTTGTTTATAAATGATTGGTTTATATAACAAATTGATATATAGTGCTTTTTATAAATATAATTGTTTAGTGCTTTGTGTATATCAGCTAAAAAAAACCAAAAGTTTTGTCCGCTTGAAAAGTATTAAATAGATAAAATTATCATCGAAATGATTGCGCAAATTTTAACCCTTTTATCATATTTTTATTTCGCATTCATCTACTGTCACCAAAAAAAGCATAAAAGTATAGCACATATTTGTCATCTAAAAATTAATATATGTTGTTTTTATTCACTTATAATATATAATAATATTCTGTTTATTTTTTGTTATGTATGACAAAAATTTTACTTTTTGTAATAAAATTAGAATATAGTCATAAAGTTAAATAATTGACGAATGTATTTATAAATAGTTTCACAATATGTTCATGTATATCTTATTCTTATTTTTTTCTTTATAATGCATGCAGCAGATTTTTCCGATTTTACAAAAGGCAAGTAATGTGATAGAGTATACATATTAAGTGTGATTTAATAATATTCAACATAATATCTGATTTACACTACTTTATTTTAATATATTAAATATATATTTAAGCAATGAGAATAATTAAAAAACCATGAACCGTATAATATCATATTTTCCAAAGAATTAATATAATGAAGATGTCAATGATTACGATAATACAATTATTTACAATTAAATAACATTTTTTGCCTTTATAGAATATCCTCTAATTATTATTCACATAGCGTAGCATTAATGTCAACATATCATTTACAAATAATAGCACCTTTTATACAAGAAATCTACTGCTTACGATATATTATAGCGATATTATTTTTATTTTTATTATTTTTTTTTCTTTTCTTTTCTTATTAAATTATTTTTATATAATATGTGTGTAAATAAGTATTTTTAGAAAAAAAAAAAGCAGATTTATATTTAACATATATATATCTTAAATAATTCGCATATTATATATGCGACGAACAGTAACTTAAGTTATATATATACACAAGTACATTCCTTATAAAAAAAGCTTTCCAGATGAATGTTATGTCATGCTTGCGCTTGTCTGTTTGTTGTGTGTATACGATATCGGGGTGTCCTTAATTTAGGACGGGATCGGTGTCGTCCGAGGGATCCGGAGGTGGAGGGGGTACGTTGAGGGGTTCCCGAGGGATAGGAAGTCTTCTTCGCCGTCATACCAGTTTCAAATCACCTCAAGAGAACCACACACAGATACAGCTTGTCATACAGCATCCTGATTAAACAAACAAATAATACAAGAAAAAAACAAAACAAAATATATCAATTAGTCAGATACCATCCCTGATAAATGCGGACGAACTATGCTAAATTAAATTAAACGAAATATCTTTTATGTCATTCATTTTAAATTACATACCTGACACATATCATTTTTACACATTTTCTGTGACTATGAATATATGTATATATATATGTGTGTGTATGTGTGTGTATTTGCGCGCGCACGTGTATATGTTACGTATATTCGATTGACAAATTTATATCGAACGCTATTTAACATTCAGATGTATGTGCCAGGTTATATCTTATACCATTTTATTCCTTTTCGCATTATTTTATACATATGTAAACATACAATTAAATATCACAATATATATAAATTTATATATATATATATTATTCTTTATTTTCTTTTATTTGAAGAGTAAAATTTAGAATTTCTTCAAAGTGAGCATCGTTATAAAAGATTTGATTAAATGCTTCTCAATTAACAAGAAATAGACTGATAAATAACTGAGCATTATTTAGTGCTCATATCTTTTTAGTTTTAGTTACAAGAAAGAAGGCATCATAATGCCGTATAATTTCATCTTATTGCGTTAAATGTTACACAGTTGCTATATACCGTATATACTTATACAAAATATTATTATTTCTCACAAAAAAAAAGAAAAGAAAAAAAAATAATATTAATTAACATCGTGTTCGAAAAAAAAATTATAATAAGAAGAAAATTTCATTTCGTCACTCAGATTAAAATTGTATCGAACTTTATATATAAGAATATAACTGTGTATTTTTGGCACAATATTTGATACACGAGAAATGTATAAGAGAGCTTTGTACTTCGAGTAATAATATTTATTTTCTGCTTAAAAAATACACATTTTCATTTTTGTTCGTAGAATTATTTATTTGTATCTATTCAAAAAAGATTTTAATTAAATAACAAAAAGAAGTTGTAAACTCTGAACAAGCTGTCCTTTCGTGTATTAAAATATCATTTTATTGGATTATAATTCAAAATTTCTTTTAAATGCTTATACCATAAAGCATTTTCTTTTTTTGTCTAAAAGACAGCTTGGCAGAGGTGAACGCGTGCTATAAATGATTAATTAAAAAACAAATACATTGTTAATTTCATCATTAAAATTTTATTCGCAAATAAAAGTAATGCTTTCTTATAAGATATTTACTAACAATTATCACCCTCATTTTTTAGCCTATTTTCATTTTTTTCCTTTGTGTCTGAACAACACGAAAATGCTATAGCAATATTTCTTCTAATACGCATTGCGATTATTGTGTTCGTAGATCAATAATGTTTGTTTTAAAATAAACCCGGCTTATAATTTTTGTTTAATATTAAAAACCAGTCTTTGTTTCATTATCTCATTTTTTTTATGTATATGCATATATAAGTATATGTATGCATGTGTGTGTATATATGTGTATGTATATTACTCGTATAATATATACAGGATGTCTGAAGTTTATCCGACCAAATAATATCCGCGTATTTTATACACTAAAATAAGAAAAAAATGTTATGTAAACATAAATCGCGTTTAAAACTTTATTTAGTTCAACCAGAAAAACCTCGGATATACTGTATATTACGTTTTGACTTATATTAGACATTACAAGTTTAATTTTAATATATAAAAATATATACACATACATACATGCATTGAACATAACACTAATCTATTTCTATGAATTATATACACTTCTAATATTGTATTATTCGTACACATTGATAAAAAATATATGGAATATTACATAACTGAATATGGAATATTACATAAACTGATATTTTGTACACTAAATTAATTATTAATATTATACATATATATATATACATAACATAACATACCAATTAATCAATGTGGCTTTTAAAAAATGGCCCATGAGATTGGCGAAGCATGATCTCAGCATGTTTAGATTTTGCAAATGATTGTATTAATATGATACTCATTGCTTGTTTCAAATTTTATCTACGACGGACATTTTCTAAAGAAACAAAAAAATTTACAGGATAAAATATTCAGTAAATCAGTTAGAAAAAATTAGAGAAATCAATCAGTATTTTGTAATACAAAATATTAAATAACGTGACACATACATATAGACATTTTCGATGATCATATAGCAAAATCTCAAAATCTCGATCATACTCGAAATAAGTAAACAACATCGGTCAAAGTTATAAGAAAAAAGAAAAACAAATCATATATAATTCGCAGATTAACATTTCCTTAATGTATACATTTTTCTTTCAGGGCTGTGGATGGAAAGGAAAAGAAAAACAAGAAGAAGGGCCTGTTCTAATAACATGAAAACAAACAAAAAAAGAGAAAGAAAAAAAATAAAGCGGAAAAGGCACAGCGAGGTGCTGCTTCTTTCCAAATCGTACAATGGTGTTCCTGTTTATACAGTGGCGATGAGATAACATTTTTCATCCAAGCCAATGAATTTATTTTATTACAGAAAATAAACGAGGGGGATTCACGATGAACTCAATCGAAACACATCACATATTTACACGTGCATACAAACACGCGTCATTTAATCATTGATACCCTCGTATAAAACTTTATAATATTAACGCGCTAATTATATACGTGGACCTTTATTAATTGCTTACACACGACAAAGTATATTGTAAAAGAATGATATATACTATATATCCATAAATATGGTTCAAATTAAGATCGAATCACATTGATCTTATCTAGGAGATAGAGTTCTCTCTTTCTCGAGAGAAAGAGAAGACTTATACCCGTCGACATTTTCATACCGAATTCCAAAGATTTCGATATTTCTTTATATTCTTTGTCTTTATATTTTTTATTTTTTATTTTTTTTTTTTTTTTTTTAATAATATTTGTTTGCCGCAAAAACCTTTTTTTACTTTGAGAATTAAAAAAAAGTATATAAAGTATATGCTTCGAATTTTGTTTAAATGTAACTTTTTATTTCACAGACTGACGTGTATTGTGTTAGAGAGAATTTTGAAGAGCATTCAATATTGGTGCAGTGATTTTACGAAAGATCATTATTATTTTCTTCTTTTTATTTTAATCGTAATATTTTTTTCTTCGACAGTAAAGATTTTTTTTTTATAAGAAGGAAATGAAATTGTATAAAAATGTATACATATATGCAAGAATAATCCTTCCCCAACTCCAACTCCGTATTATTATTATTATTATTATTATTATTGTTATTATTATATATAAATATAAAATAATTCATGATATCAAAAAGGGGAAGGAAGAAAATTAATAAATAATAACAATGACAGAAAAAAGAAACGTTACAATTGCTTAAATCTTATTAAACTTAATCATACCGTGTTATGGTGCTACAATCTCAAGTCGAGCCTCAATTAATTGTATCGTACTTATTTACAATGTCACAAAAATTAGACTCAATACGCTTATGCATTTCGAGGTTAAATAAAAACTATATTCTTTATATATATATATATTATATATAATATATAAGTATCTATCATATTTTGTTTTTTTTTCTATCATTTCCGCATTTAATTTCGAAATACGACGGCTCGATCGTAAAAATTATATAAATATATTTATTTAAAAAATTATTTAATAAAATATATCTATATAATAATAATCGCTATCATAATAAATATCAAGATATTTGCATCGTTTATTGTTAAACATATTACAATATGTTTATTTTGCAAAATGTTTTAATATTTCATTACTATTATTATTTTTTGATCGTAAATATGTTCATGTTTATCAGTTTTTGGCACTTATTAATTTAAATCACGGTGTCTTGAAAGAAATAATGTAAAAAAAAACAAGAAGAAAAAAGATTATTTTATTTAACCTCAAATACATGAAATATCTGTTTATAAAAAAAAAAACAAATCGCTATCGTGTTTTTTATGCTTGGAGATTATAACAAAGAAGCATAATAAAAAAAATAATGAAGCTCGAATGAGAAAACAAAAGACCACTTTAACTGTGAAATATTAATGACCTCTACAATATCGCACAATGTCCGATCCACGAAAGTAAGAACTTTTTAAAAATGGGAGCAGTATACAATTCAATTACAAGACAAACAAAAGAAAAAGTGACATTAGACAAGACAAGATTTTTATTACATACATTATCTAAGTTACGGTCAATCTATACAATGTCCAGAGGGATTTGGTCAATTTATAAAATGAACTTCAGTTGGTTGTGATTAGAGTCCGGTGGAAGGGAAGTAATCTTAGGAGGAAGAACAACTAAACTCTTAACAAAAACTGACCACCATGCTGATCTTTATAGTTATAGAATAATAATATATCTTTAATTAATTATAATTTAATCAGACAGTTGTGAGAAAGCACGTGCACAATACGGAAAGTGAAGATCATTCAATGAACGTATGAACATACACCTGTCGTGGTTTGTTTCACTACAATGTCTTGAAATTCTCCTACCCCCCATGGTCTAAACACCCCATTGAAGCATATTTTATAGATTAACCAAAACCTTTTGTGCATTCCATAGATTGACCGGACAATGTATGAAATACATGTTCAAAATATATTGCCCAACTTAGTGGGTGGAATATATGCATTGTGACCATAACATATATATACAGGATATGCATTTCAAAAGCAACGCTATATATATATATATTCTATATACACACGCGCGCATGTATATATTTATGTATAATTAACACGATAAAAAAAAAAAACAAGTTTATGCTTGTGTTTTAACGTCAACATAGAAAAAAAAGATCAATTAAAGAATAATTATTAAACGGGGAAAAAATAATAAAGATAAGAGAAGTTATTAATAATCATGAATTTATCAAACGCTTATGTGTTGTTTCATATAAAATTCACTTCCTATATACTTTGACGGAAGATTATTAAATGTTTGATAACTTTTTCGTGATGTTTATCAGTCAGATTGATATTTCGGATGATTTATGAAGAAAAAGGAACCGAAAAGAAAATAAAATAAAATAGAATAAAATAGTATAATAAAATGGAAGTTTTCGAGAATGGTATTAAGAGACTACGTTCAATTTCGCGCGTTTACTCTTGTACAAAAAAGAATGAATGAAAGGTTATTTCACGTTCTTTAATTAGATAAATGTATGTATGTATGTACGTGCGTGTGTATTTATTTACATACGTGTTAACAAAAAAAATCGCTTTTTACGTGAACCGCAGCAGCAGCAGCAGCAGTCTCTCGTTAGTTAGAATAGTTAGGCCCTTTTAAATAGTATTACTCGAGTTCATTTACTTCGAATAAGTTCCTCGAGTATTATTATTATTACATCGTTTATTATATTATCGTTAATCGATCGTCGATTATATTAAAAAAACAAAAATGATGGGATAACGCGTATAATTTTTCGTGTTATCCTCTCTTTCTTACAAACTTTTTTCTCATTCTGTTCCTTCATCTGAACCTTCCTTCCATTAGTTCATTTAACAATTTACAATTTTCAATTAATAGTTTATATTTATATTATATAGTGATTAAAGTTTGCATACTTTAATAAGGTATAATAAGCCAAATAATTAGATATTTCTGATCATTATTATCCAAGATGACTACATTATCATTTAGAACCTGTCCTGATGTATATGTTTAACATGTTTAGAAAGAAAGAAAAAAAGAGAGAGCGAGTGAAAGAAACAAAAATAAGCTAATTAAGTTGAACTTTTGTGCCAAGACGAAGAAGAGTATAAAAGCATTTTATAAAAAAAATAACGCCGGCAAGTGGTTTCCCGATTCGTTGTAATATTATTATTATTAATAATAATATATAATAATAATAATAATAATATAATTATAATAATGATAGTAATAGCAATATAATAAATAAGATAACTTAAAATGACGAAAAAGAAAAAAAAAAAAAGAAAAAATAAATGAAAACCTGAATTACTTTCAATCGAGAGAACCACGTGCTACATTCCTATTTTGTACGTGCTTTTTCTAGCTAAATAATCGGGCTCCGAGCGTGTGTGCAGTATTTTAAACATAAAAATAAATAAATAAATAAATTAGAGAGAGAAAGAAAAGAAACATAGAATGAAAAAAAGAATGAGAGAGAGAGAGAGAGCAAATAAAAAAATAATGAAAGAAACGTTGAAAATAAAGTCTTGTCACGGTCAGATTATTTATAAGTATCATACATACATCACACACACATAACACATACACGCACATAAAGAGAAAGAGAAAGAGTGCAGAAATATGAACGTTTATAAATATTTAAATCACGATTAGGTCACTTCGATGTTAGAGTCCTCATTTCTCTTTTTCTTTTCTTTATTTAATAATTACATACAATAGAGTTCAACAGGTAATTATAACAATGATGATGATGATGATGATAATGATTATGATGACGTTGATAAGGATGATAATTGTTATTATTATTATTATTATTATTATTTCTTTTTTTTTTATTTTTGTAGAATATTAAGAATATTAAAAAAAGAAATATCATAATTAAAAGTATGTATAATGTATATGTATGTATGTGTTGATGGAATCCTGATATTATAATGGAATCGGATAATGTGACAAAAATACGCATAAAAACAAACATGCGTTGCAATTTTATGAAACGAGTTTCCATTTTCCTTTTTTTCTTAATTTTATTGATTTTTTTTACGTTAATTAAAATGTAGTCGTTTCAATGATGCATTTCCATGATAATGATGATGCTGGTGTAAAATTTGTCTTTATATCATTTTTCATAAATCGCGTACTTAAACGAGTATTAATGTCGATGTATGAGTAAGTAAATAAATAAATAATGAATAAATGAATGAATGAATGAATGTATAAAAGACGAAAAGAGGAAAAGAAGTTAAAATAAACGAGATTAATAATTTTGATAAATGTCGATGTTATAAATCTCGTGTAGTGATTGTTAGATCATTGAAAGCGAATAAATGAAAGAAGAAAAAAAATAATATAGTTATCGATAACTGTATGCATTTTATTACGAATGTGCTTACAATGTTAAAAGCGATTATTCATAGAAATTTTGTGGTGAAGCGAATGTGAACCAACCATTGCTATTTGTGGTAATCTATGTGGTTTAAATTTATTCGAAAAATATCAAATATGAAATGACGATAATGATGATGATGATGATGATGATGATGATCGTGCTTAGTTTTATTTGAAGTTTGTGGAAGAAGATAAAAGTGGGTAAGTGTTTTAATATATGCGTCAGTCCTTGAATAGATGTATATGTGTGAACGTTGGATATATGTGTGAAGGCTAGATGGATGAATAATAATAATTATTATTAATAATTAAAATTAATTAATTAATTAATTATCTAATTTTAAAGAAAGAAAAGAAAAAAAAAAACAAGAATAGGTAGAAGAAAACAAATTATATTTTGCCGTGCCAGACGAAAACAAAGCTGCCGCCGCTACTTGTAGACATGTTGTAATAATATTAATAATAATAATAGTAATAATAATAATAATTAAACTATGATTATTATATTATCGTAATAATTTGAAATTTATCTGTATACCCATAGTAAATTATATATAAAATTATACACGTGCATTCTCGTAAATCTTATAATACCCTTGCTATATATTTCTCAAATTTTTTTACTTGATTGACGATCCCATTTATCCGAGCAAATATTTTTGTGACCCTAAGTGCTAGCTAGAGGTTTTCTTCGAACTTTTTTTTATTGCAATGTATAATCAATCAAAAACTGGTAAACTTTTGTCGAAAGTATTTTTCTGTCAGGTTATCACAAGTATTTGAAAAATCGTGAAAAAAATTACGTGAGACACCCTGTATACATATATTATATGCATACGTTAGCACTGTTGCTATTAATAACATATCATTTATGCATTTTTAATGGTATGCTGTGAAATAAAATTTACCTAAATTTTCGTATATTTTTTTAAAAACGCTTTTAAGTATTTCAATTTTAAAAATTTTATCTACTTATTTCAAACAAAAAGAAAAAATTCATGTAAATATTTTATTAAACGAAATTTTTTATTTCAAACAATCGTTGAATACGATAATTTTTTGTGTGCATACAATAGCTTAATATGTGACTATAATCATTTGTTAAGATATGTTTTTATTTTTAGGAATTAGAAAATCTCACAAAAAATTCAGGTCTTTCATCAATAATGTGTTAGAGTTTCAAAACTTCGAAAACTTTGGATGGTTACGTTTCAATTGAAGCACACCGTCACATTGTGACGTACATAATAGATGTTATCTTTGTAATATATTGTTGATAGTAATTGAAAAAAAAATTGTATCTATTGCATTTAAAAGTAATATTGTTTAATGACTATTTTTATTTTTTAGTGAGTTGAATGTTGAGTCATTTTACGAACGATTTTCGAAATAACATTTTTAGTATCACGTCCACGTGTATTTTTATTCGTAAACATATTTTGAAACTACAATCTGTTAATATTCATGTAATATTTAAAAATTTCTCTCTCAATATTTTTACAAATTAGATTTTTCTTTGTACTCACTAATTTGTTTGATAATTATTTTTAATTATAAATTATAAAAAGAAATAATAAATACAGGAGATGTTAAGATATATATAATATGTTAGAAAATCTTTCGTCATATTGAATAATCCATGCTTAATATATAATTCAATATAATAAATAATTTATAGATTTCAAGTATGAAGAATACATCTAAATAATCTATATTCTATATATAACATTCATTTATTGACCTTACAAAATATTAGATACAATATTTCATATTCTTATTCAAAGTTTTTATATTTGCTTGTCGTTTTATACGAAAGGCAAGCGAACAAACAAATAGGAAACGAAGAAGAAAGAAAAAGTAAAAAGGAAGAGAACACAGAAATATTATAAAAAGACTTCTTATCGATTGTCGTTTATTAACAAAAAAAAATAATAAAAAGAAAAAAATAACTGGTCACAACGAACTATAATGAAAATATAATGTATGGGTGACATCAACAAAAATAGATATTCTATTATAATTGTAGTTGATAAGAATGCCGAATACGTTTCGAAACAGCTTTCACGTTACATTTTTACTTGACATACTTAGTTTCGGCTTTTATATATGATGACCAAAAATCATGGATTTGTACGATTTTAAGAAAATCTTATTTTAATTACAATACTTTCTAGTTTATTTTTAATGCCATATTTTTTGTCTTATTCGATCAAATGGAATAAAAAAAGTAATCCATAAATTATTCAAACTGCAAGATTTCTAATCGTCGTGCCTATTACATAAACATGATTTAAATCGTTTCGAATACAAGTTAATGACGATTGCTCAAGAGAGAAGACAAATTTTTTAAATTAAAAATAACCTGCGTATAAATATTTCTAAAAAAATAGTATATCGAAAGATGTTACATTAAAATATAATTAAAACAATAAAAAGAGTATGATTTTTTATTTATTTTTTAAACATAAATCTCTTGAGTTTATAGTTTAAAGAAGTTTTGTTGTAAGATTAAATTGGTATACAATAAAAAAAGATAATAATCATAAAAATTACGAACTTCAATTATTTTAACTGAACATTATTTTTAATTATATTAAAAATTGATTCTTTTTTGTTGTTGTACGTATATCTAATCTCCATGACGTACAATATATTTAAACTTTAGACCCCCGAGAGATATGTACATAGCTTTCAAAGAAAAAAATTAAATAATAAATCATATTTTGAAAATTGATTTATAAAAGGTATTGTAAATATAATTCAATATGTGTAAAGACTTTTGTTCGACACTGAATATACTTATACGAGTTTACATAAAGAAGAAGGTCATAGGTGTTGAGTAAAAAATTAAATCGCTCAAGAAAAGTTGTAAAACCAGAATAAGAATGTAATTTTTTGTTGATAAAAAAAAATCAAAGAAAAAATACGACTTTGAACTGAAAAAAAATTAATTAAAAAGAAAAATGTTAAAAAGTAAAATAAAATCAAGAATAAGAGAATGAAGAAAAAATGTAGTTCGTTGTCGAGAAAAGAATATACAAAAGAATACAATATTAAATTGAAAAAAAAACAATTAAGAAAAAGATTGTAAAAATTGTAGAAAAAATAAAAATAAGAACACAAGATACTAATAATAAAAAAGAAAAGTATAATAGAGAACAGTATTCTATAGAACGATAAAGAAAAACAATTTCATTTGCTGACGAAAGACAAAATTGGAATTGAAATAGAAAACAAAATTATCATAAAAATTCTAGAAATAATAATAATAATTGTAATAATAAGTGAATTTGATAGGGTTCGCCCCACTTCCTACGTCAGAACGGTATAGCCGCGTGGCCTTCGTAAAACGAAGATAACCGAGAGGAATCGTATGAAGGAACGCATTCCCTAGTGAAATTTTGTAGAGGAACGAAAAAGAAAAACGTTGATTATTGGGAGTAAGAAATACTATTGGCTCACATATGTCAAGGAAGGTATCATCTTTTATAACGGTACGTAAAGTCGTGCCAACAACCGTGAATTTTCATTTATAGTCAAAGTTTCACTTCTAACCTAAATTCTTCCTCCCAGGTAACCAGGCAATTAGCCAGCAACTAGTCAGTCAGTCAGTCAGTCAGATCAAACAACCAACCAACGAACAAACAAGTAAAACGTGAAGTCAAATCTACAGATAGTGTGTTAACAAAGTTTATTGTTATTATTATTATTAAAGATTTGTTATAATTTTCATCGAGGAATCTTATAATTTTCGAGAAACGTAATATAGTAAGTTATTATAACAAAGAAATTAATATCGTTGAAAAACCGGCGAGTGAATTGAAAAAGAAAGTGTCCTCTTTTTTAAATGTTACATAAAAGCTGAAGGAATATAAGTTAATTGAATATACCACTGTTAAGATTTCTATTTGTCATCAAGGATTTGTATATGTACATTTATATGTGATATATATATCATTAAAAAATATAATACCAAATTTCATACAAGATAGAAGATTGTCTCTCCAACATACATATAAATATATATTTATATATTATTCTTGGAAGAATTGAAGATGTGGCCCAATGATGTTGGTATTAGAGCCATTGAAGTTTATTTCCCAGCTCAATATGTCGATCAAACAGAATTGGAAGTTTACGATGGTGTATCAACAGGAAAATACACCATAGGACTGGGACAATCTAAAATGGGATTTTGTAATGACAGAGAAGATATTAATTCTTTATGTTTAACCGTCGTCCATAGATTATTGGACAGATATGGAATTAAACCACAAGAAATTGGTAGATTGGAAGTCGGAACTGAAACAATAATAGATAAAAGCAAATCAGTTAAGTCTGTTCTTATGCAATTATTTGAACCGTTTGGTTGTACGGATATCGAAGGTGTAGACTGTACTAATGCTTGTTACGGTGGTACAGCAGTTTTATTCAATGCTGTTTCTTGGGTAGAAAGCAGTGCTTGGGATGGAAGATTAGCATTGGTTGTCGCAGCTGACAGTGCCGTTTATTCACCAGGTAGTGCAAGACCTACTGGTGGAGCTGGAGCAATTGCTATGATCATTGGTCCGGATGCTCCGATTGTATTTGATCGTGGATTACGCGCATCATATATGCAACATGCATATGATTTTTATAAGCCTGATTTACGTTCAGAGTATCCATACGTTGATGGAAAATTATCTATTCAATGTTACCTCCATGCTTTGGATAGTTGTTATCAATTGTATAGTAAAAAAGTTAAAGGAAAAAAGCCAAATGAAAATGTTACTTTGAACAACTTCGATGCTCTGTTATTTCATTCTCCGTATTGTAAACTTGTACAAAAATCATTTGCCAGGCTAGCGTTTGTTGATTTTTTAAATACATCTAAAGCAGAAGTTTCTGAAAAGTACAAAGAGTTAGAACAATTTCATGACGTTGAGTTAGAGAATACTTATTTTGATAAGGATATCGAAAAAGCGTTTGTAAATTTAAGCAAATCAAATTTTGCGGATAAAACCGAACCTAGTTTATTTCTAGCTAATCAAGTTGGTAATATGTATACGGCATCCGTTTATTCCGGATTAGTATCTTTACTTATATCTAAACCAATAAACGAATTAGCTGGCAATAAAGTAGCCATATTTTCATATGGTTCAGGTTTATGCTCCAGTATGTATTCGTTGACAATAACGAAAGATATCCAAAATGAATCTAAATTAATGAAAATTATTTCATTGTTAGATTACGTTAAATCACAATTAGAAGGAAGACAAAAAATAGCGCCGGAAGACTTTACTAGCATATTAGAATTAAGAGAAAAAAATTATCACAGCACATCCTACGAAGCTATAAGTAATATCAGTCATATGTTTCCTGGTACTTACTATCTCGTTAAAATAGACGACAAATATCGAAGAACTTATAAAAAAATACCAAATAGTAAATAATTTTCTTTAAACAATCTATTATAGTTTAATTTGTTAATTTAATTAATTGGTTAATTAAATATACTTGAAGCTTATCCTATGAGATATATTGTAGCACAATGGATGTCTGTATATATATATTCAAGAAATATTTTCTATCTAGAATTTGTACCGATTTTTTTTAATATTATATCGCATATAATTTTAATAGATAATTTTTATAAAAAAAAAAATGCATTTTGCTAATATGTATAATGTAAATAGAAAGGAAACTATTATTACTAGTTATTGTATCAAATGTTGTGAGATATTATTTTAGATTATCAATTATTTTTTCCGATGACAGATCTTAATTTACTGAAAATAAATTTGTAAAAATACACGTATTACATTTTTAATAATTTATATTATATATATCATCAATTTTGAAATAATAAATTCCGAACAACAATATAGAAAACACTAAAAAATAATTATTCCGAAATTGCTGAAAAATTGTTGATCATGCGAAAATAAACCTAACGGTAATTCGAGGTTTTCTTTTTTTTTTCCTTTGTAAAAGTGCCTTACAAAAAAAAGATAGCGAACTCAAATCATAATTTGCTATACTTTAGAAGTATCTTATATCAAAATATATACTTGTTGCTACAATAATCCATAAAAAAGACAGTGTTTATAAACGTGAATTTAGTTTGTATTATTTTTTTTTTATATAGAATAGAAATATTCAGTTCTTTTTATATATAAATTTACCAATAAAGTGTTTCTACCTCTTAATTTATTGTTAATGAATTACAATAAGATTTTGCAACAAATATTACAAATGAAATAAAACATTTATATATATATAGAACACCTTAACATGACATTTTTTTTATAAATAATTTATTCGAATTACTGATAATGTATTTCAATAACGAACATGTACATATTATTGATTGTAGATAAAAGAATATATCAGCTTCATTTAAAGAAAGAAAAGAATGTATTTTTATGAGACAAAATTCTGTACCACTAATCAATAAATATTATACAGAAAAATATATTTTATTATTGTGAAATCTTATACATAAAATTTGATTTAAAAAATTTTCTTTTGTAATAAAAATATTGCGTATTTCACACCTTCATAAATTGCATTTTATTTTGTTCTTTTTTTTTTTACAGCATTCGCTAATTAAATATTATATATAGAGAGCATATAATTGTTTATTTATTATTATTGCTATAGGTATAAAAATATTTAATTATATTATTACTATGATATTATATTATATTATTGGCTCTATACTTCATATAACAATAATTTCATTTCTACAAAAAATACACAAAAATAACAAAAAATATATATATATATATCAACATGATAAATTAAAATGAATATAATAAAATTATTTTGTGCGCCATTTTATTATTAACAAGTTCACTGTCGTACGACGGAGAAGAGATTCCAATTACAGCTAAAAATTAATTGTTCGCGTTGATTTTACTGTCACAAATTTGTGATGCTGAACTTTTAATAGAAATTGGTGTGTTACAGATATGTATGCGAATGTTTTAATATTTAATGATCAATATATTGATTAATGATAAACATTTTAATAAGAAATGTTTATGTATATAAAAAGTTTTTATACGTATATATATTATAGGTTGAATTTCTTAAGATTCGAATCAAATTAAAAATAAATTAGTTCTTTGCACATATGTGTATGTAAAGTCGAACACTTCGAACTACCAAAATGTAATAAATAAACATGTAAATTTTGTTGAGCTCATTCGAAAAATTTAAGATAAAACATTATCCACAATATTCATAATCTTGCATATATAATTTGCTTTATAATTACTCTATTATCCGTTTCTTTTTATTTTTTAAGGAACTCTATATTATGCAATACCTAATACTTCCCCGTAATTTTTTCTAGTTTCTTAAATCATTTTCATTAGTGAACACAAGCTTTTACGCGTGATAGATAAATAGTCTGTTAATATGTATATATACACAATATTTGATAAGGCACTGAATAATATACAAGACTTGTTCAGGTAACTACAGTATTAAGTATTAATAATATTTTTCGAATTTGTGTAATAACTATAGATGTATCAAATATTATATTTACAAATGAATTATTATTTTGTCAAGGTCATTGTTCAAATTTCTAATTTCATATCTCCCTGAATTTTAAATAAAATAATTAAGTATAAAATCCGTTTAGAGTATCAGCTTTAACCGTTCAGAGAATTGTCTTTTTTATAATCAAATGTTACCGTGTAGCATAATTATCTTATTTTTATTTTCGTTGGACATTTAGGATTATTTTTATGTATCTCAGTCTATATACTATCAAAAATGGGTACTTTTTAAAATATTTTATATGAACAACTAGGGCAAGAAGATAATTCTTTTCCTACTCCGAGTTTAATAATATCCTCATTATCGCTTATTTGACAATTATCATATCGTCTCTGAAAAAAATGAATAAACAATATCAAAGAAGATAAACAATATATAAAAATATCACGATTGTATCATAGTTAGCATTATTATTTAAACCAATAATTAAATTTTCAATTACCTTCAGTTCGGATGCTAAACAGAAGAAGACAGCATCTATGTTTGTATTTTCTTTGGCAGACGTTTCTATAACTTGTAAAACTTCTGGAAGATACTCGCACAACGCTTCAGCTTCACTTTTTTCAACTTCCCGCAAATCTCCTAAATCGCATTTGTTACCTTTAACAACGATATTCATAAGATACTATCAACAGTGCTATCCATTGCATTGTTCTCATAAATATTTTTAGAGTATTACCGATTAAAAGGAGTAACACATGAGAAGATGTATACCTTCTTATTTCTTCCACCCACCGTTGCAAACTTAGAAATGTAGAGCGTTTAGTGACATCATAAACTAAAAAAGATATTCCTTTAGAAACATCTAATAATAGTAGTAGCACGTATATATACTAAATACATATTAACAACGATCTATAATACTAACCAATAATTACACCATCAGCAGATCTATAATAACTTTGGGTAATAGTACGAAATCTCTCCTGTCCTGCGGTATCCCATATTTGTAACTGTAAACAATAGATCGTAATTGATGTATCAATCCTTTAAAATAAAATAATACTTATAATACATTATAGAAAAATATACATTTTGTATGTATGTGCAAAATATTCATTCAGAGAACAAACCAGTCAAGATTAGTAATATATTTTTAGTGTATAATATAATGACAAGTATGTTACTTATATACCTTAACTTTTTTACCATCTATCAAGACAGTTTTTATCGAAAAGTCAACACCAATAGTATTTCCATGTCTTTCAATGAAAGTACCAGATCTAAACCTTTGGACGACACATGTTTTCCCAGTTCCACAATCACCGATAAGAACGATTTTAAATAAATAATCAAAATTCTCTTCGTTCATGGTCATGAGATTGTCAGGATCACGAGTAGACATTGTTTCTTTCTTTTGTTTTTCTTTGTGTTTTTTTTTTTAAATAGCAACAATCAAATAACAATAACAAATATTACGAATGATGATTTAAAAAAAGTGTTTAATTATGCAACTAAATTGTGCCAAGTCCGTGGCTTTGTCACTTTAAACGTGTTCATAATTTTTACTTAAAAAGGCAGCTGCTGTAACGAAACACTGACTAGTTTGTATAAATGTGAGAACTGTATTTGCCTTTTACCACACTACTGCCATCTATTAGGAAAAAATAGATTAAATGTGTAAACATGTATATTCTGTTTTATCAACTATTATCGCGACTGTATATAATCTCTTTTATAAATTGCATCTTAAATTTCAAACAATTTTCGACTACTCCTTCTGGTATCTCTGTAAATATATAAAAATTATTAAAAAACATTATAAAGTAATTACTAAGTTTACTCTTAGTTGTTTTTTGGACGGGTTTAATTAAGATGAACACTATATTTATCCGTTGAACGTTTCGTCTCTATTTGAGACTTCCTCAGCAACTTGATAGTTATGTTCATAAGTCAATATAACATCATTTTTATTACAGTCATAAGTTTTCACTATCTTATATATAGAGTCAATTTTTAAAAACGTTATTCTACCTTAACTTTTCATCTTATATCTATAAAAATATGATAAACATTACACGGAAAGTAATATCCATTGCTCGGGTCTAACCACGAAGATTTAGGATTGTTGATATAGGATTGTATAATCAATATGTACACTTAAATAGAAATTAAAATATATATTATATTTTGTTAATAATAATTACGTAAAATGTTAACAGTTCGGGAATAAATAAATTCGATCACAAATGTGTACATTATACGAACAATACTAAACATCGGTCAATTAAGATTTGGTCCCTAATATTTTACACACATTTCTTCAATAAGAAACGTAATACACAATATATTTATACATGCATACATTATTTGACATCACAGAAACATTAATTTTTCAAAAATTCATTAAGAAGTTATATCGATTGATTAATTGATTGTATATTTATATTTCTTTTTTTTTTTTAACTTACGAAATTCACATCTGTCAGTATTATATACGTGCACAAAACATCATAAAGTATGACGGAAGCATTTATAATTTATAGATGCTATACAATAGAAATAAAAATGCAATAATAGGCTGACAAAAGCGTCGATGTGAGAAAAAAATAGAAATACTGATAAGAAAAAATATATTGTCTTTTCTTTGATATATTAAAAGTGCGATTACTATATATAGTATATACAAAAATTCATGTAATATTAATCACGATTGATAATCTTTAAATAAGATTTTTGAGTGAACGAAATCGATGATATTTTAGAGAAAAAAAAAGGAATTTTTTTAAAGTTAATTATTTAAGTGACTTCCCAAACGGTTGAACTGTCACTGTATCTGTGTATCCTTGAACCAACTTCAACATGAGCATCTAGACCATCGCTCAATTTACTGAAACGTCTTGCCCAACTACCTCGACCACCAGCAGCAGCACCACCAACACCAGGTCTGCCTATACTTCCAGTTTCTCTTAATACTGAAAGTATGTCTTCTTCGTCCTCTTTACCTTTCAATCCTTTTTCATATTTAGCTTCTTGAGCTAACAATCGTTCTCGTTGAAGTTGAGTTGCTAAGGCACGTGGTACAGCTGGTATAACGTAACTCATGATCCCAGTTAATGCAAAAACCTAAATCATACGAAAGTGATTACAATTATTAATCAACACAATGTAAATATTATTTCAACGTTTTGTTAAACTTACAACATGTTCAAAAACAACTACGAAAGCTAATCGAGCTGCAAAGACATGCCAATATTGTGGACTCAATCCATAAGGATCTGATTCGTGATCAGGTCCATTTCTGTATCCCCTATATTGGCATGTTTCTGGATGGTTATCATCGGCATCACTCTTCATGTCGTCACGATAATCAGAAGTATTAAATTCAGAGAGAGAGCTGTCGATGTAACCGACCAAATCGTCCGTTGGAGAATAAACAAATGCGTAGACACTTCGTGGAATGAAGTCTGAGGTATAAGCGATTACAAATGCCTGCAATTGGAATGGTTTAATATTAAAATTATAAAATTAACGGTGCATTATTATATAACTCTACTTCCAAAATAATATATTTTGTATATTTAATTAATGAAATAAAATTACTTACGTTTGATACTACGGCAACGTAAGTAACACCACGAAGAATACCGTGCCAAGCACCGATATCTGCCACTCTTTCTGCGAGAGGTCTTCGTGCTTCTTTCACCATCTTGTAAGCATCCAATCTTATTTCGGCGATATTATTTAATAAAGCGAATAATGGTGCTAATGGAAAAGCTGCTACGAAGAGAGTTACGAAACCATACTGAAGAACTACAATTTAGATAATAATATTAATAATTGTTCATTGATTTATTTATTGTACATACGTGTGTGATGAATAACAAAATATACATACTCATTTCTAAGTACTCATCGAAAAGAGCTAGTCTTCCAGGATCCTGCAATTGATAATCTCTTTCCCAAGAAGTATATTGTCTGTCATGATCTTTCGTAGCAGCAACGTGAGATCTTTTGCGCCACCAATTCCAAAATTTCGGTGATAGAATCTCAACGAAATTATTAAAACACTGTTTGCCAATCATTATGATAGCTAATTGAATGCACACTTCAGAGAGACAACCAGCTGGATCACATACATCAGTTTTTATACGAACGAATTCAGATGATCTGGCATTTTGATCACCGGGATGTACATAAAATCTTCCCTGATTAACAATAAAAAAAAATTTTTAAAAAATAAAAGAGGAAATGGTATGACTAAATTATAAATTATATATTATACTATAAATTATAAGATGTACCTTGAAGAATGCGATGTAGATTAACGAAGAATAAAAATTAACGAATTCAAAGAGGAATATCTTGAAAGTGAAACTAGATTCGTATTCGGTTTGAGTTCTCGGATTTTCCATGTTAACCATCCACATAGCCAATCTATGATATATACGGGTGAGTATCATAATTATCACTAAATTGATCAAGGCTGCTGTCATCGAAGTAAATATCTTAGCATGTTTTTGTAAAAAAGTTCCACCACCGCCGTAAAATACAGAAACGAGAGATATTCGATATATTATTGTACCTAGGACTGCACCAAGAACAACACATATCTAAATAACATAAATATCTGCAGTTACATTAGATGAAAAATAAAAAAGAAGAAAAGAATTTGTTGCTCATTAATTTTACCATAAAAAATACGAGAGAACCGGTCGCACAAAATCGCATGGTTTTCGACCATGCTGGTAAATATGGTTCGCGCTCTCTGGTAACTGGATTAATGCGAAATGTTTTCACCGATGATTCGAATTCGGGCCTAGGTTCCTCATCTTCTTCCGCGTTTTGAAGATCCCATTCCCAAACTATTACGGCTTGACGTCTTTTCCATAATTCTAAGAATGTCGTTGCTATATCAAAATAATTTCATTATAAATATCACTTCATATTTCATTTTTATATAATAATAGACAAAAAATATTTTACCCCAAAAGGACATAAAAATGGCGAAGAAAACAGTCGCAGGATTATCGAATAAATAAGTTAGTTTAGAAAATAAACAAGAGTTACCAAGTTTTTGATATCTACAAGCTTTATCGCACAACGGACACAACGTGATATTTCCTATAAAAAAATAAAGAAAAATGAATTATAACAAATTTTGTGTATGCGCGTGTGAGATTTGGTTTGTCATTTATAATTACGAATCTACCAGCTATTTTATCATCACATATTTCTTTGCTAGGAATATTATCAGCTCCTTCCATACTTCCTAGACCGTATATGAAACATAAAAGACCAACCACAGCTGGTGCAACCAAACATTCCGTGTAAAAACCGAGCCAAGCGAAATACAACGCTACTTTTTCACCAAAGTATCGTCTTATCAACCACAATGGTTGTTTTTTAAACCTAAAAAAAAAAGAAATTAAAAATTATTGTTCTTAAAAAAGATTACATTTATTATTAGTTGCGTTTAAAACTTTTATTACCATTGCATAGGACTAGCCCATATCAAATAAAGTAAATGTCGATCTAAAATTTCTCCATTATCCCCTGGCTTATCGTATGGGCCTTCGTGCAAGGGATAACAATCAAGATAAGTACCGTCTGCTAAAAGTCTACGAATCCCAGCTTTCTCATGCGTTTCGTCGTACCTTGCACGCAATAATATTTGCATCACTATTAATGATCTTTGGGCTGGGGTATACGCGGTACCTCGATCTTTTACAACGAATCTGATAATTGTAACAAAGTATTTTGTTTACTAGAAATCAATCAAAAGATTATTAAGTGTTGATATAATTAATTACCTTTCCTCGCGATCACCAGAATCAACGCTGTCGTAAAAACTGGGTTCTTCGGGATAATGATTGGTATCCCAATGATGAAGTTTTTGTATCCAACTGGTCAACTTTAACCATTTCTCCCAAAATTTAGGCCTTCCTTTTGTACCATCTGTACCCTGTTAACATTTAATATCTATAAGTAATATTACAAAGAAATATTTTGTCGAAAAATAAAATCTCGGTTCTACTAACCCAAGCTTTAACAGAGATAGTGATAAATCTTTTGGTGGGTAACTTCAAATTCATAACTTCGGCATATTGTACTTTTATTTTCCATGGTATATGAAGTTTAAGAAAGAACGTTTTCCTATCGAATGAATTTTCTTTCGGTTCTAATTCGAGTTGCAAGCCCTCAGTTAAAAGATTTTGTTGAAACACCCGCCTTTGTTCTCTTCTTTTTGTTTCCAATTCTGTCAGGACACCCTCGTTTTCTTCTCGATAAACGAGCACCATATCGATTCGTCTTCGACCATCGCTAAAAAACAATTAAAATTATGGATGTTGATTTACTTTCTTTAAGAATATATCATTCAGCCATTTATTTGATTGGATCATCAAAATAATAATTAAATTGACAATCGATTTATTTTTAGCTTAAACTCTCTTTCTCTTTTTCTTTCATTCTACAATGTATTTTTATTCTCGGTATATTCTATTATCACATGCTATAAATAGAAAGGGATAGTTCTTCAATTAATTATTCAGTTCAACCTTTCGTACGCTTTGCTTTACGGAAAAAAGGTACTCCAGTAATTATCTAATAACTTTAAGCTAAAAATAAGTGAAATAGATGAAAGGGCTCTTTTAATGCTTTCTATATTCCTTCCTATACTTTTTAAATTTGCGTGCAGAAACACGGAGATGATAGTTCTGAGATAACAATTATTATTATTATTATTATTATTATTATTATTATTATTATTATTATTATTATTATTATTATTATTAAACACCAAGCAAAAAATAGAAAGATGAATTTGATTCTGATTTCAAATAAAATGCAGAAATCGTTTCTTACCGAAAATATAACGTGTCGGAATCGATTTCATTTTCAGCCAATGAACCCTTTTGCGATAAAGTTTCCTTCGCTGTTTCATCAAAATCCGAAGGTAATGGCGTGTTCGGTAACGATGGACTACTTTCCGGTGATCCTGGGGCCGTAAGTTTTGGGCCTTTAATTCAATTAAATAATATTAAATTATGCACCACAATTATAAACATATTTAAATAACATATTTAATAAAGATAAAAAAAAATAATATAAAAATTATGTATACTATTCGTAAAAAAGAAAACTTATGGATGTACAGATAAGTATATATACTATTGGTCAAAAGATTTGCAATCATTTGATTAATGAAAAAAAGAAAAAATAGAAAAAAGGGAAAAGAAAAAGAAGAAGAAGAAGAAGTAAAAATAAATCCTTTCAGTCTTTTCCATTTGTTATCCCTATAGTGAAGTTATACTAAACGTAATTACATTAACAACCGTAAGATCTTATCGATAAAATCCTTCAATGCATTTCATGCCATCACTGGAACGTCCTGTGATATACATTTGCACAACCTGTTGAATGTAAATAAAGTAACTCTGACAGTACTGCTGCTTTAGTAAAAGTAGTAGTAGTATAGTAATAATAATAGTAATAGTAATAATGATAGTAATAATCTTTTAAAAAATATGTTTAAATCTGTGAATTTTGTTACATTTATTTTTTCTTTTCTTTTTTTTTTTTTTTTTTTTTGGGTATTCAATCCATTGAAAAATTTGTTCACAACGTACCAATATCAGATTAAAATTTATCAATGTGAAAGACGGATATAAAGGGAAAGAAAATAAGAAAAAAGGAAGACATGTGCAACTGTCGATCAGTTTTACTAGTTTTATGACCATGTCGAGGTCTAACATTGCATTATTAACTGCAATGATTCGTGACATACTGACATTCGCATACATATTGATCGGTATATAACCAACCTATGTAGCTTTTATACTAACCGAAGACAGGTGTATTCCTAAATCATATATCTACGTATCTATATGTATTTATATACGTTAATATAAATGTAATATATATGTTATCGGCAACGTATGAAAAGCTGGCATTCTATAGAATACTTAGGCATAGTATATAATGCCCAGCGTTTTTAAGCAATGTATGAAATTTGAGAATTGTTACATACTTTCCCTAAGCAGAAAATTGAAATTTGATTTGATAAAATAGCATGACTAACAGAACATTAGTTTTCAGAGTAAAGGAAGAGATAAGAATGGACATGTATTGTTATAGAAAAAAAAACAAACATTAAAAACGTATTAAATTTCAATTTTATACTTTAACTATTTGCTTCTTTTAATTCATGTATGACCTCATTATTTCCTAAAATCTCACTAATTTAATGTATAATAAAATTCTTTTTATATGCATTTTTTTCTCTTTTATTTAGAATTTCTTATATTTTTTTCAGTAAGAAAAATGTGTGATTATTTAATAATAATCTCGAATAGATGTTATGATCTATATATGTAATGTATGTTCTTTTTACATAACTCTCAATGTTTATATAACACATTCTTTGAAATTATCCACGAACGTTTATTGTTATGTAAGTGTCATTCAATTTGATTTTTAATGGAAAAATAAAATCGTTATTTGTGTATAATATCGAAGGATGACAATTCGTTCGAAAGATTTAATAGTCATGTATTGTCATAATCGATCGATTTTATCTAAAGAAACAGAATTATGTTTTTGTTATTATTATTGTAGGATGTACTACGTGGGTGTGTGCGCGGGTGTGTCTAGGTATGGGTAGTTATCTATAATTGAATATTTTTCATGTCCTCTCCTTGACAAAAAAATATCATTAATTTCGTAAAAGGAGAAAGGATGTGACAAAACGGCACGTTACTTTCATATTTATGATACGATTAACATCCCGAGTAGTACGAGTAAGTGATTATGGATACGTGATTTTCATACTAATCGAGAATAGAGATATGTTAACGTATGTATACTTCAATTTATTTTTAAATCATTTATTAATTTTGTGTGATTTAAATTTTAGGTCAATTTTGATTATTAATTTTTATCGCGTATCGATTCGATTAATGAAGAATAATCGATGTTATTGAAAGTGATTTTTAATTCGAAAGAATTGCTATTTATTTGTAAAATAATTATCTTGCTTTTTGATAAATTCAAATGACAAAACAATCTTACCAAAAAGAAATTCATTAGCATACTTTTGATAGAATATTTTATTCTTATTCATGAAAAAAGTATTTTTTTTTTTATTTAAAAAAACATTATAATAATAATTTGAGAAACTTTTTTAAAAAGAATAATCAACGAGACATTTAACACGTTAATATCATCATTTTTTAAAAGATAAACAAAAAATACAAATTTTGTGTCATAATTTGGAAACATTTAATATTTTAATAAATTATTCACACATCACACACACACACACACACGTTATATATAAAAAAAAAAAAATAATAATATTAAAGAAGATAAAAACGTACCAAACGCATCACGTGCCGTCAAATTGGTCCCAGAAGGTAAAAAGTTAGTCTTGGCGGATCCCTTTTTAGAAATTTTCGGCGATCCAGGTTTCGATGGATTCTCCGTGGCGATAGAAGGATATTGCTGAATACCGTTCTTATCTGGCTCGTAAAGGATTTCCCTACTCGAACGGTGCCAAGTTGTTGTTGGTGTCTTGACCTTACTCGAAGATGTACTCGAAACGATGCTTCGTGATTTGTTACTTTTACCTGGTGTAGATCTCGTTGACGTATGCGATGATGCATCAGCAGACCCAATCGATTTTGTAGCTTCGCTCAAATGCGATTCACCAATGCTCAACTCGGAAAGGTCTTGTGGAGCGTCACCTACGGTGCTTGATCTTCTACTGTGAGCATTCTGTAATTCACGGTTAGGTGCTTTACGATCGAGTTGATACTATTGGTATCCAGCTCAACTTCCTATTTCATTCGCGTTCTTTGCATCGTCGTGATAAGTACAATAACAATAACTAAATTCGATACGTCTAACAGATCATCGACGATTAATCAACGTTAAAGAAAGATTTTCTTTTAATAAATATAAATATTGGCTCTCTCGATTATTTAGATATTTACTTAAATAGAAAAAAAAAATCTCTGCGCGCACATGCAATAATTCAATATGCGACAAAAGAATTATGTTTACACGCTTTTCTGTGACAATTTGATTATATGAACATTAGAGAAGCACTATAAGCAAATTATAACACTAAAGATATAGTATTACAAATAAAATATTTTCCAAAAACAATAAAAGAAGCAAAAATTGAAGATACCTATTTTAAAATTACTGAATCCTTTTCTGTAAAACGTGTTAACTTGTTTGTCGATGGCGTAAAAAATTAAATCAAATAGATTGTTTAAATAAAATCCAAATGAAAATAAAAATCAATGAAATGTTAAGTAGTTAATTATGACAAAAAATACCTGAGTTTCGTCTTCGAGAGTTAGCGTGCTATCACCCATTTTAATCGAAAGATCAGGAAGACTATCTATTAGTTGACGACAATACCACAATGGCCAAGGATTTAAATTCTTGTTGATTTATAGTAATTGATAGTCATCCTAACAACAGAGTTCTATATGATCGATTATTGGAATAAGAATTTGGCTGGTGTATATAATTTAACTTATGTTTATGGAAGAAAGCAAGTCCTTTAACATCAGTTGCTTCACATCTTCTTTTAAACGTCGATGAAATTATTTCAGTATATCTTCTTTCATTATATTCTATTAATTATCCATCTTTTTACTTCAAATGTTCATACATCATCCGATGATACATGCTAAGAAAAACCAATCGGAGAACCGGAGAATAAAAACTTGATTGATATCAATGATTTGATTTAGGTTTCTTTATGGAATCAAATCCTTAAACAACAGCTTCTTCAAATCTTCTTCAAAACATCGGTTCAATTCATTACGTTTTTCTTTTCATTTTATTTTATCACTTTTATTACGAATGTTCGTATAATTATTCGATAATCGCGCGATCGATATAAATTTATATTAATAAAGAAAGTAAAAGTTAAGAAACAAAAAATGTAGAATAAAAAAAATAGAAGAATCGATCATAGAAGTGATCACTTAGGACTGTGGTCGACCTCGTTGCCTGGACTATTCTTCAATTATGAATGGAAGAAGACCGACTCGGTCTATAGTTATCGCTGACCCCGCCTCGACCAGGATGATCACGTAGCCTTGGCCGAACTCATAGGACAAAGAAACTTCGGTAACATTCCGTAGTTAGACACCATCATTTCTTCTACTTATAAATGTGTGACTGTGTAACCTCTAATTCGAATAATTCGTCGCACATTAGGGCCATTTATTTATTCCTTCTTTTCCCCTTTTTTTTCCTTTTCTTTTTCTTTTTATTTTCTCGTAATATACTACTCGATCCAAGATTAAACGATCACAAGCCCATTTTCTATTACTTTGACTTTATCCTATTGTCACGATTTATGTTATTATATTACTACTCTTTTACCATTACACACCCTATATTTGCATTTTCATAAGACATATGCACTGAATAAGTTTTTTAATCAGAGTCACTTCAAAACGATCTATTATAACTTTACTGATTTTCATTTTTCTTAAAAAGATACTTCATCGTTCTAACTAATTCCTGTTTTTTAAAAATATCACTGTTATTTCCTTACACTACGAAAATGTCACGTATTAACTTAACCACTTCATACGAAAGAAACTTCTTTTCCATTTATTTGTAACATATTATTATTTATTCTTCCTATTTCTCTTTTTAAATATCTTGAATTGTTAATGTCATTATATTTAAAAACAAAAATATATTAATAATTCATTCTATACGAACTAAAATTTTCTCTTTTTATTCCTTTACAAATAATTATTATTATTATTATTATTCATTCTTCCTTATTTTTTCTCCCATTTAAATACCCCAAATTATGTACGTGATTATTTACAAACAAATAAAATAATCAAGTTAATAGATCCAAGAAGAAAAAAAAAACATAATTGAATAAAATAGCTAACAAGTTCAAGGATACGTTTATTGAGTATTTTACATTTATCTATCCATTTATCTATCCATTTGTCTATCCACCGTTCGATATCGTAAGAATTCTCATGGTTCTCTTTCGTACGAAAAGAAAAAAAAAGAAAAACAAGAAATTGTTTTGCTGGCAAATCGACAATACAACACGAAACGTTGTTTCCACGTATGTATTATCCTGTAACACAGGGCAGAGGATATATAAGAAGAATGTCACGTCGCTCGTTTCCGCGGCGATACTGTGACATATACCAACCCCCTCGTGGCTAGAGAATACATGCTTATATGTTATGCTACACATGGTCACGCGTATATACCTGACATTGTCATCGCACTATATATTACGTTTTTATATGTCAGAAGAACGTGGATGTCATTTAAACGTATTCTCTTAACGTGTATGTATAGATCACATATATGTATATATACATGTGTATGTATACATGTGTGTGTATGAGTACTTAAGCGTTTCATCCCCTCATATACACATATATACATAAAACGTTTACATGAATACCCAAGGAACATCGTTTTTCGAATTACTATGGTTACAAGATGAACACAACACGTATTACACGTAGATATCGTAGCAAACTTGAAATACCAAAACGTGGAAGATATATTCGTATGCAGGTATATATATATATGAATATGTGCAATGGTGTATATGTTCACCAGCTGTCATCGCTCGCATCGTTTGTACTTATGAACAACAATCTTTCACTCAAAACTTTTTAAATACCTTTCATAGGGTAATAAATGTAACGAAATTAAATATGAGACGGATGAAAATAATTCTTTTCTTTTTTTTCTTTTTCTTTTATCTATAGATATTATATGTATATATATATATATATATATATATATATATATATATCATAGTTTTGTATACGTCAGTATAAATAGATAAAATAATAAATTAGTTTTTATATGATTTACTCTAACGAATACGAGTGGTCTATTTAAAGAAGTTACTTTTTTTTATTATGTAACTTTTATTTTAAAAGAGTTGAGCTATATAAACGATTATCATTGATCTTCATTACCGTAGATACGCGATTGAAAGAGTATGTTACCGACATTTGATCGATTTCATATTTATTTAGTTTATATTAAATCTTGTATATAATATTGTGTAACTATTGTAACAATATCAATATTAACGCTTTATGGGCCTTAAAAATATAAAAATACAAAAAAGGAATAAAACATAAGAATGTCAGTTATCGGTAACAGACGCGGTCCAGATGGAAAATTTAAAACCGATCCGTAATAACCGGTGAGACGTTTAATGTATTAATATTTTGATTTCTTATAAAAAAGTATGATTTATTCGCATTAAAAAATATAATACTGCTATATAAAAAGTATAATTTATACAGTATAATTAACATGGCAGTTTTTTATTATGAGTATCATAAATTTATAAATAAAATTCTATATATATATGCACTTATATATAAATATATGTGTGCATCATTTATTATTAGCACTGTTAATCATATACAATAATAAAGTATATCTTTGCATCCATTCTGTGAATGTTAAATCATCCACAGTTTTGTCTACGATAGCCATAACTTCTTGAACTGTTTGATTATTCCTAAAAAATAAATAATTTTGAATATTATACGATTTCAGACAAATTTGATTTATGTAAATTTCATATTTGCTTAAGACATTTGTACCAGTCGTTTAATGCAACATTAAATGCATCGATTTCTTCCTGTGCCTTACTACAGTTATGTTGTGACGATATCAATAATTTCATAGTGTTGTAATCTTTAATAGAATCGTTTTTTATAAAAACATGCGAATTATTGCCTTCCACTATTGATGGTATAATACTTTGATACATCGAATTTATTATTAAATTTTTATAACAGTCTATCAAACAATATATCGGCGCTTTTATCATCGGAAAATAAGGCATAATATTAGGTACACTTAAATTTGTCATTAAAACGGATGCTTCCTTTAAGCAGCATGTTTCATGCCTAAAAACAAATAATTCAAATGATGTTTCGTTAGTTAAAAATTTTCTAAAAAATATTTTTATTAATAGTTTATATGCTCACCTGAAGGATTTAATTTCTCCTTGGAGTATTATTTTTTTCAATGCTCTGATATCCAAGACGTCGTAAAATATCTGTAATTCAGTTGTTAAATCCTTGTTTAACCATTCAAAGTTATTATTGTCGGCTCGTAAAGCTAAAAAGTTCATACATTCCGTATGAATGTTATTTTTTATCCTTGATATTATGCATTCGGCTGATTTCAACAGTTGCAACGAACGTTGTATATTTTCCACGCATTTGTCCTGTTACATACTTATTATTATAATAATACGTTTATATAATTCTTATAATTATTTATCTGCTACTATCGAGTAATTTTAATGTAACTTACTACTTCTGTGTCAATCGTATGAATTTCCGACAATAATCTTTGAAGTTCTAAATTGGATGCACTGTTATTGCACTCCGATTGAATTACTTTAATTTCATTTTGCAAAATTTTTTCCTCTGTTTCCAATTTATTCACTTCCAATGTCAAAGTTAACCATTCACTCAGGTCATTTTGATTTTCAGTATTCGTCTTTAAAAATAAAATCACAAATAATATTTATGAAATTTTATGAGTAAATTTTTTTAACACATTTGCTAGCCTGCCGCACAAAAGAGATTCTTATCACAACTTAGAATTTATTTTCGCGTCGATTACCGTCACAAATGTGTGATACTGAAGTTTTTATGGAAATTGGTGTATCACAAATATGCGACATTAGTAGCAAATGTGTTAAATCAATTAAGACATATAATAATTTACCTCGATATTTGTAATATACTTTATAATGTCATTTTCACATTCCTTAGCTTTTATATGGAAAAATATTTTTTTTGAAACATTGAAAATATTTTTCCCACATAACCTGGCAATACCAGTGTCAATATCTTCCCCATTCTCATCTACACTTTCTGTGTTGTTATTGTCTGTATTTTTTATATTAGTTACAGTTTTCAATTTTATTAAATTTTCAACATCTCGGCATAATGTTTGATATAATTGAGTCCATAACGTAGACACTTTGACGTGACCAAGTAAATTCGATATTTCACTTTTCACCTAATGTATCATAAATTCATATTATATATAATATTTTATTTTAATATAAATAATTTTTTATATAGTATATTACACACTTCTCTTTTGGTTGCACCAAAGCAAAGCGTAGTTACGGTATCTAAACTTTGCTTCAAAATATTTTGATCCAAATCTTCCGAAGTCTGTGGCATTAACTTTTGACATATCAGTCTCATTTTATTGCTATCTTCAAGTTGAGAACGTACTTCATTACATTTTATCTTCAATAAAGTTTTCTTAATTTTAGCCAAAGAATACTTCGACTTAATATCTTCCAAATGTTTAACTGTAAAATTATTTTATTTTTATATATTAAAATAATTTCATTTAATATATGAAAAGAAATTTCCTCATACCTTTCTGACGGACTAAAAAATCTTGTTGCTCATATTGTTCTTTAAGCGAGGAAGAAGAAA